CCCGAGCCGGGCTGTGTTTTTCATTGAATTCCATAATCAAGTCAAAACCGATGGTCCCTGCCGGTCCCGATCCACAGCCAATCCCAGGCGGGGTCGGGCCGTGTTTGGCCATCTCTAATCATGACCACGATACAATGTTGGATGGTGCTTGGAAGGGCACAACACGTTTCTTGGACGACCAATGCATGACACCACGCTAGGACAATGCTGAAACGGGCACATTGTGGCGTTGGCACGACAAGGTCGCAACACGATGGCACAGGTTCCATTGTCCTATGCACGACATGGCTGATCATAGAGGCGTGCTGATATGCGGTTTTAGCTAATGTGTCAAAGTGGCTTTGATGCCATTATAAGGTTTCGTTTAAAAATAACTAGATCAAAACGCAATGGAAAACTAACATTGATTTAATTAGGTCACTTTCATTAGAAAACTTTACTTAAAAATAAATCCTTAAGGTAACGTTTAATATGGAGACATGATTGGATAGGACTGAACATGACATAACTGGATAGGACAATAGGGTAGGACTGGACGGGACTGGACTGAACAAAACAAGTATATGTCTGGTGTTTGGTACGACTACAACTGGACAGGACAAGACAGTACTAGACAAGTTACTTCCAAAAGTTATTTGATGAATTTAAATATTATATAATAGTTATAACTAACACAAATAAAGTAAATAATTAAAAGATTTAATTTATAAATATTTTTACACAATTTTCATATTAATGAATACATACATATATAATGGTACCAAATTTGAATGGAAAATTTGATATAAAAATGGTAGTAATGGTAGTGGTGGTTTTGGTTATGGTGGAGGTGGTTTTGGTTATGGTGGAGGTGGTGGTGGTGGTGGCTGACAGTAGTAGTGGCGATGGGCGGTGGTGGTCGGTTGCCGACAATGGTTATGGAGGTAATGGAAGTGGTGGTTAGTGGACGACAGTAATTATAAAGGACGTGAAGATGGTGGATTGTGGTGGTAGTAGCGCTTGCCAATGGTGGATGAGGTAATTGTAGTTGATGTAGTGAAGATAATGATGGTGGTGGTTATTATGGTGGAGGTGAGGTGGCAATGGACGGTAGTGGTCGACGGTGGTTGTGGAAGTTATGGAGGAGGTTGTTGTAGTAGAAGAGGAGTTGGAGGTGGCCAACGAGGGTAATGGGGGTGGGAATGGATGGTGGTGGTCGGTGGTGGTTGTAGAGGTGGCAACAGATAGTGGTTGTCGATGGTGGTTGATGGTCGACGATGGTTGTGGAGGTTATGGAAGAGGTTGTTATAGTAGAGGAGGAGTTGGAGGTGGGCAACGGGAGTAGTGGAGTGACAATGGATGGTGGTGGTCGGTGGTGGTTGTAGAGGTGGTAACGAATAGTGGTTGTCGGTGGTCGATGGTGGTTGTAGAGGTCATGGACGAGGTAATTGCGGTATAGGAGGAGTTGGAGGTGGCCAACAGTGGTAGTGTTGGTGGTAATGGGTGGTGGTGATCGGTGGCCGATGGTGGTTGTAAAGGTGGCAATAGACGGTGGTAGTCGATGGTTGTGGAGGTGGCACACAGACGGTGGTGGTCGGTGGCCGACTATGGTAGAGGTGACGATGGACGATGTTGGACGACGGTTGTGGAGGCGTTGGAGGATGTTGTAGTGGAAGAGGAGGTGGAAGTGAAGGTGGACATTTGTGACCACCAGTGGCAGCGGTGACCGAAACTAGTGGTGATGACCATTAAAACATATATCATATTAAGGTTATATATCAAACTAGCGCAGATTAGTAATATTTTAGATTCTGTCTCATTCTTGTCCCATCTTGTTCCACATTTTTTGGTGGAACAAGAAAAAGCCTCTTTTATCCCATGATGTCCCACCCTGTTCCAATTTTTGTCGTTGTCCCATGTCATGCCAAACGTAGGACAGTGAGTTTTTGTTTTATCCAATGTTGCGCCAAACATAGGACAATGAGTTTTATCCCGTCCTATCTTGTCCCGTCTCATGTACCAAACACAGCCTAACGGATCCAATGCCACAATTGAATATAAAAAACCATAGGGTGTTTATAAGTAATACCTTTAGGTTTGCTGGAAGAAATCTTGCAGCACAAGACACCAAGTTCGGTTTTCCTCTAGAGTAGTCCACACACGAACACGTTTTGACTTAACTGTGTGCTAGCTCCAAACCCTTAAAGTTATAAATATAATATTTGTTTAACATAAAAAGAATAAGGTTTCTTTTTCTGTTTTATCAGGTAACCTAAAAATATCTTGATTGGATTGATTATTAGGCTTAGACTCTATCACCTTATCTATAGGTTGGTCATGGAATTATAAATAGACCATAACTCCCTAACATGGGTTATTTCTATCTTAATCCTTAAGTCACATCTCTTTAAGGCCAAATAAACGTAATAAAGGTTTTTTTTAAATTTATTATCTTAATAAATTCATCTGTAAATACGTTTACACATAAAACACTGCAATTATCATAATTATATTTGTAATACATACTTTAATTATTCTACTAGATGCGGATCACAGTGAAGGACCATGATCACCGTGACTAGTGCTACATGATATTGGTAGAGTTCATCGGGGAATAAAGAGGAGGATACATGACATTTTATCTAACTTGAAGTAAAAGATAAAAAAATAATGTATTACAATTTTTTTAATATAAAATAGATAAATTTTATAAAAAGACCAAAATACCCTTAAGTTAACAAACTTTTTTAACGGGTGTTAGTCAAAGGGACCAAAAGTGTTAAAAATATTTAATTATCCGCCGGAAAATTGTTTACTCTTTTTTTTAGATTTTTTTTTTAATTTTCCGCCGGAAATCCGCCGAAAAATGGTTATATATATTTTTTAAAATATTTAATTATCCGCCGGAAATTTTAAATTTTTTGTTTAAAGGTTTTTTTAATTTTCCGCCGGAAAATTTAAATATTTTTAAAAAATTATTTATTTTTCCGCCGGAAATTTGTTTACTCTTTTTTTTAGAAAAAAATTACAAAATCCGCCGGAAATCTGCCGGTAAAATGTTGTAAATTCAAGATTAAACTGAGTAATTAAGAAATCCGTCGGAAATCCGCCGTAAATTGTTGGAAGTCAATAAAATGTTGACTTTTTTAGTGTCCGCCGGAAATCCGCCGTTAATTTACCGGCGGATTTCGTCCGCCGGAAATGCTCAGTTTTCTAGTAATGTAATTAATTCAAAATTGGAACGAGACTTGATAATGATTGGCAACCGAAAGGACCAGAAGTATAAATCACTCTTAAAGTAATAAGTACTAGATTTTACGGAGTCGAAAGATGGAATATTAATAAATTCTATATATAAAGTAATAAGTCGTAAACTTGAACTTTGAAAAGTTTTTAAAAATATGAGGTAGTTGTTTTATAGTATAATTAGAAGGGTACTCGTGCAATGCAGCGAGATACATCTTGTTTTTAATATTTTATTTTATTTCTTTATCTCAGTCGATATTATAGTATGGTCTTATGTGATTTTGAAAAGGCGATGATGTTTTTATATTTGAATAAAATATAAATTGAAAATATCATAAAAATGACAAAAATATATCGATATTAGTATCAAATTAATTATTTAAAATTTCTATGTTTTGTATAATTTTTTAATTCAAATTTTTTATTATAATTTAATTTAGGTTCAATAATGAAGTAATTTATATTTAGTTTAATAATATAATTCTTTATAACGATAATAATTAATTATTTTGTTAGAACTTGATAATTATCCTAATTATATTTTAGATTTTTTATATTTTAAAATGAGATGTTTATATTTTATTTGATTATGTTTATCCGCAGTTAGTTACACGAATTCAAACAAGAAGTTTTGATAAGTTATACTTATAAATAATTTACTTGTAATCTTGAATTTTAAGTAATATACATCAATATACAGTACTTCATGCATAAAAAATGGTTTTTAAGAGTTTTTATCAAATGCTTTATAATATAGTATAGATAAATATTTAGTATGAATGTATATTTACATATGAATATATCCGTGTTCGAAATTTTGAAAATATGTAAAAAAATCGAATAAATATATCGATATGGAGATCTAGTTAAACAGAATAAAATATTTATTTTTATATAGCTGTATTAATAAAACAAAATATATAGACCTTTTTCTCTTCTTCGTCAAGCTTTCGAGCAGTTCTTTTAACTGTCGTCTAATCCTCCAACATGCTTAAGAACCGAGAGCCGCCTAGGAATTGAACTCCACCAAGTTTTATTTGACTAAAAAATAATTATATTTAAGATAATTTATATTTTAAAAAAATAACTAAGCGGCCGTTTACCAAACACTTATTCGGTAAGTGCTTACCGCTAATATTGAACACTATTATTTACTTACCAGGTAAGATTTTAGTCCACCAAAACGACATCGTATGCAACAATTTACCCTGTAAGCGCGTACCGTGGTAAGAATCGTCGCCCTCACTTACCGGGTAAGACTCTTGGTCCTTGTCTCGCTCTTATCGGATAAGATTCTTGGTCTTTATCATATTCATCCGGTGAGGTAATGTCACTTGGTAAGTGCTTACCCAGATAAGTGTTTGGTAAACGACTACTAAATAAATGTAGCATAGATTAGGGTTATTTTTGTAATTATGATCAATAAATTTAGTTTTTGTAAATTTTAAAGTATAATTTGAATATTGAAGCCAATGGGGTCCTATTGTCCTAATAACCAAGTGGCTCAGTGGGCTGCACCACAGCCAGCCATCCATCCATCCACTCACAGCCTACGGTCCGTGCCGTGGTCCAGTTACACACGCAACACACACTGGAAATCTATTGGATCTCAAAGTCCATATCCAATACAGTTTTATTTTATGTTTACCCCTCAATTCCCAACTATATTATTATCATATCTATGATCTATCTAACAAACCCCAATTCTAAAGTCCAATTCAATTTCTCGGGTTCAAGCCCAATCTTCTCTCTCTTCCGTCTCCCCTCTCTCTCTCTCTCTCCTCGAAGAAACGCTTTCTGGATCTCGAATTCTCGACTACAGCTCCGATTTCATCGATTTAGATCGGTGGATTGTGATCTAAAGCTGTTCTTCCGGTAAAATACATAACTCTTGCCTCTAATTGTTCTTTACTTTATGAGTTTTTTCTTTCTGCTTTCCTCTGTCTAGTCTCATCGTGATGATTGTTTAGTTCTGCTTGTTTGTTTGTCGAATTTGTTGTTGCTTTATGTTGTAGTGTTGCATTTGTTTGTCGATTTTGTTCGCTGCTTGATGTTCACCTGAATTTTTGAAACTGTGTTGTGTTTTCTGGGCTTGAAGTTTTTGTGCTCTGTTTGCTGTTTGAATCCTTCCTTGATGTTCATCTGAATTTTTGGAGATTCTGGGCTTGAATGTTTTGTGCCTTTCTTTGAAGCCCAAACATTGACCGATGAAAAAAACCCTAGATCTGGATTTTGGGGTAAAGCTGTTTCAGCCCATAGACGTTCAAATTGTTTAGTTTTGACCAGGATTTGTTATCTTTGACTTTTTGGTTTTTGTGTACGGACTACCTACACCTAGTACTAGTAGTGTGTTGCGTTAATCTATCTAAGTTTTCATTTGATTAATTATTTTGGTGATATTGGACTCTAGAATTTGGCCCAACTGGCCTAACACTTTAGGATAAAATATTTTGCATTTGTAATATATAAAATATTATATTTCTCAAGGAAATTGCATTATTATATCATGCCAATAACCTTTTTTTTTGTAATTTTAATTGAATTAACATGAATTATCATTTGATGGCTTAGTTCATTAACATGTTTTTGCCAAAAAACTTGTACTTTTATTTATCACAAAAGCGTCATTTATGTTAGGTTTATAAAAGGGAAATTGACTCAAATAGTCATCCCACCTGATCAAATTGGTCTTCTAGCCGTTCTTCTCGGGTTTACTCAAATGTCACTACGTCCGCAATATCCACTTTCGCAATATTGCGGACTTGACTAAAAGACAGAAAAAAATTTATCAGATTCAACCCAAGTCCACAATTACGATGGCCAGGTCTGCAATTGCGACGGTGCCACTTGCTGACCCGGTGGAATTTGATTTTTTTTTTTGTCTTTCGTAGTGACATTTGAGTAAACCCGGGAGAGGAATGGTTAAGAAACCGATTTGAATTGATGGAATGACTATTTGAGTCAATTTCTCTTTATAAAAATATAAACCAAAGCATATATTAGGAAAAATATAAAGGTACATATATCTTTCTTTTATCAATTATGCCTATTTGTTTCATCTTTTTATTGTAGTAGATCTTCTTGACACTTTATTCATTACACAATTTTTTAGGTGTGTTTTGATTATTTTTGCCCATTGATCTTATTATTATTTTTTTTAATAATAAAAAAGGTTACCGATAAATCTTAACCTTCCAAGAGATCATGGGTTCTAGCCGTGTATGTGAGTTTTGCTGTATATAGATAGATGATTAATTTTTTTTGAAGTATATAATATTTATATACGACAAATACAACATATAAACTCACACACCCTCCTCATCTATGGTAAGGTTTGAACCCCAGACGTCCTAAAAGGCCGAAGGCTACGATACCGTTAGGCCACAGACCTTTTGGTATTTTTTTTACTTGGTTGCTTCGCAAGAATTCCATGGAAAGAGTCTATTCTTTTTGAAGTATGTAATAGAACAACACACCCTCCTCTCCTCACCTTCCGTGAGCTTTGAATCCTTCACTTCCTAGGTGACCCCGGATACCACTAGACCAAAGACCTTTTGTGAATTTTTTGGTGTCCCTCTATTCTCTGTATTGGCTTTTATATGGTTTTAACTCTTGCTAATTGCAACTTCAATTGGTGCAAGATTTCTTGAACCTCTTTTCATTTTCCAAGTGCCTTGTTCATTTGGCCACATACTTTTTCTTTTTTGAAGTTATATACTGCAAAACTTGAAACCTTAGACCTCAAAGGAGGTTGGGATCTATCAGTAACCCAAATACAGATACAACAATGCCAATGACCCTTTATTTCTGTGTAAGCCAGGTTGCTTCTTAACTTCAAATGGAGATGACTCCTACTGAGAATAACATGCTGGTTAATATGGAGATGCAACTGGAACCGGTGTATCTCGGTATGCAATCGCACAACGTAGAGACACCACCAAGCAAGCGCAGAAAGAAGAAGTCGATGGTCTGGGAACACTTCACTATTGAAACTGTTGGTGTAGGGTGCAGAAGAGCCTGCTGTAAGCAATGCAAGCAGTCGTTTGCATACAGCACTGGTTCGAAAGTTGCTGGCACCAGTCACCTCAAACGCCACATTGCCAAGGGAAGTTGCCCAGTTGTGCTTCGAAATCAGCAACAGGACCTGTTGTCCCCATTCAGCGCACCTTCAAAAGTAGGCGGTGACTCTGCTGCTCCAACCACCGATACACCTAAACGTCGCTACAGAACCGCCAGTGTCCCTTATGTTGCGTTCGACTCCGACCGTTGCCGCCAGGAGATAGCTGAGATGATCATTTTGCATGACTACCCACTTCACATTGTCGAACACCCGGGGTTTATGGCTTTTATACATAACCTTCAGCCTCGTTTTGAGATGGTGAACTTCAGTACGGTTCAAGGTGATTGTGTAGCGACTTATCTTCGAGAAAAACAGAGTGTTCAGAGTTTGATCGAAGGGATGCCGGGACGGATTTGCCTCACGCTTGACCTCTGGAATTCTTGCCAAACAACGGGTTACGTTTTTGTAACTGGCCAATTTGTGGACAGCGAGTGGAAAATACACAGAAAATTACTAAATGTTGTGATGGAGCCGTATCCCGAGTCTGATTCGGCTTTTAGTCATGCTGTGTCTGCCTGCCTATCAGATTGGAACATTGAGGGCCGGTTATTCTCGCTCACGATAAACCAGCCTTTGAGTGAAATTGGGATTGATAGTCTCAGAAATTTGCTTTCAGAGAAGAACCCGAGCATCCTCAGTGGTCAATTGTTGCTTGATCACTGCCTAGCTCGTTCTTTAAGCGGCATCGCCGAGGAGGCGCTAACAGCCTGTCAAGAAACGGTCAAGAAGGTGCGAGACTGTGTGAAGTATGTGAAAACCTCAGAGCTTCTGGAAGAGAAATTTCTCGAACTCAAACAACAACTTCAAGTACCGAGCATGAAAACGCTAGCACTCGATGATCAGACTCGATGGAATACGACTTACGAGATGTTACTAGCGGCTTCTGAGTTGAAAGAAGTATTTTCGTGCTTAGATACCTCCGACCCCGATTATAGTAAAGGACCAACCACCGAAGAGTGGAAGCAGGTTGAGAATATGTGCACGTATTTGAAGCTGCTTTTCGACACCGCAAATCTGCTGACCTCATCAACCGTACCCACAACAAACAACTTCTTTCACGAAGCATGGAAAATCCAGCTCGAGTTGGCACGAGCCGCCACAAGTGAAGATGCCGCCATCGCCAACATTGCAAAACCGATGCAGGTGAGTTTTGATAAGTACTGGAAAAGCTGTTGTTTGATGTTGGCGATCGCGGTGGTTATGGACCCACGGTTCAAGATGAAGCTCGTCGAGTTTAGTTTCACGAAGATTTATGGAGATGAGGCGGCAACTTACATCAATTTCGTGGATGAAGGGATACATCAGCTGTTTCTCGAGTATGTCGCACTTCCTCTGCCACCAAATGGCGGTGGGTTCGAAGGAAACATGAAACAAGAAGAGGATGAAGGGCTCGGGCTAACGGATTTCGATATGTACATCATGGAGACGACAAGCCAACAGTCGAAATCAGAGTTGGACCAGTATTTGGAGGAGTCGCTTTTACCAAGGGTTCACGAGTTTGACGTTGTGGGGTGGTGGAAACTGAATAAGGTGAAGTACCCGACACTTTCGAAGATGGCACGTGATATCTTGACGGTTCCGGTATGTAGTGTGGTTCCGGAGTCGGTTTTCGAGACAGGGAGGAAGGAGATGGATCGGTATCGGTGTTCGTTGAGAGCGGAAACGGTGGAGGCGATAGTGTGTGCAAAGGATTGGCTTGGGGTTAGGGGAGGGGGGGATTCAGGGGAGATGATGAAGGCTTTGGTGAAGATGGAATTCCCCATTTGATATTTGATTTAGTTGTAGTTTGTAAGCCTTGAATTTGTATGTTAGACTTAGGCTGAGGCTGTTGGGATATATGCTTATTTCAAAATTCAACTTTTTTTGGTTTTCTTCATGGTAATTCTATAATGGAGTAGTAATGATGTATGTATAGGGGGCTAAATCAAACCATAACTAATAAAACAATAAATAGGTAAATACTTACTCTCATTTCAATACATAACAAGTTGAACACGAATTTCTTTGAAAATTAAAGAAAGTTGCGAGTAAAAATTCAAGAAATTTAATCTTGATTTTGCAATCGAATCCTTTTTTATAAGCTCTATGTACTTAGTATCAATGATTCTTTTTCCCTTTTTAGTTTTATTATCGAAGTCAATGAGGGAATTACTCGTGTTCTCATGAAAGTTACTTTTTCTGGCGAATCTTTTAAAGGAGTTGGTTAAAAGAGGTTAGAGTTAATGATATTTTCAGGTGCAAAGAGGTGAAGAGTTAGTTTAGTGTTGGTAAGAGAAAGAGGATTGTCTGAAGAAAGTGAAGCTAAATGAGAGCTTTTTGCATCTCTTATGAGATTTTTTTATCAAAGCCTTAGATTGCTCATGGTCCGGCAAGTGCCAAAAAGAGCACTAAGGGTCATAGATTTTAGAACATTTGATGTTTTGATACACATCGAATAACTGTCCCAAGATTCATAAAGACATTTCAAAAACTTTGTTAGTGTTTATTAGTTACAATATTATACTACCAACAGTCTTTAAATCTATAAGAAGGCAGTTAAAGAGTTGGTGTACATCGGACAAAGATTCATTCTTACCACAAATGAATATCTCATATTGTCTTATCAAATTTTTCTTTCTTGTTTCTTGGATTTCAGATGTACCTTCATCTTGGACAAAAAGAGTAAAAGAGCGTCCTACATTTCTTTAGCAAATTTGAGGTTCATCACAGAGTGGTAGACTTCATCAGGAAGAGCCATAACAATAACAGATCTTGCTTTGGTGTCAATGGCCATCTTTATTATATCATCTTCATGAGCTTGCTTCATTACCACATGTTTAGGAGTTCTAAGGAGTGTGGTAGCGGCTGGAGCAACTTCAGTAGTTATAGATGGAAAAAAGGGACCATCTCAGATGTAATGTGGGATATGAGGATCCACACCCTCAAGAAAAAGAGACATTGGATTTTGCGAGAGACAAAAGTTGTCTTTGCTAGATGTGGGAGTTTGGCAATAGAGCCATTATCATGATAGTTGTTTGTAGTCATTGTAGGATCAATTTGGGAAGGGAAAAGAAAAGAAACCATATCTGATACCACTTGTTGGTTGCAATAGTGTTAACAAGGCTATAATCTTTCCTGCTCCTCTCTTCTTTCTTCTTCTCTGTCTCCCTCTTTCTTTCCTTTTGGGGTGCTTTGGATTTTCTGGTAGTTGAGGTTTCCTCCTACCCGAGCGCTTCATTGTTGCTTTTAGCGTTTTAGTGCCTTGATCTGGAGGGGTCTCCCCCCTCCTTATAAAAAAAACAAGGCTATAATCGTTTGTAGAAGCGGTGGTTGAACAAAAGCACAACTATTTCATTTTTAAATTCGTTTATTGATTTTGAAGAAGAATTAATATATTTGAATTTACACACTGTTGCGGAATAATAAAATGAGTTAACCTAATCTAAATAATTTTACTTTGAAACTAGAGTACTAAGAATCTTGAGAAACAATGCTGAGAAAACATTGAGGTTTCTTGCACATAATACACTTAGAGAGAAGGTAAGAGCAAGGACAAAGAAGATATCAATGGTAGTGAGAAAAAGAGTCTTCTCACCTATTTATACCATGTGCATTAAATACACATAGCATGTATAATCCACGTGGCAGAGTTAGAGTGGCTCGCAGGAACTTCTCGTCCAAAAGCGATGCAGACTTAGGCCACTAATGAATAATGCTTCAGGGGAGTTGGTGAAGTTGGAAGGGAACAGTAAAGGAGATTGTATTGTACCTTTTGTCATATTGAAGCATGGGGGTTTTGAATCAGCTACGGAGAGGTCGCTGAAGACTTCTTCAGTTGTCATTGATCACTTGAGTAAAGCTTCACATTTCTTCAAATAGGGTGTATCACTAAATGCCGCTTCAAATCATCTCTATCTTTATCTTCAGATACTTCTTCGACATCGCTGAAGTTTCTTTGATATGACTCTTGTCTTTGAGAAAACTGGAGTCCAAAAAACATAAATTGAACTACGCAACAAACACTAAATAAACTTAGTCGGTTGGTGTGCTTTCAGATAAAACTTAACTTAGAAAATTAATCACTAAATACATAGGTTCTTCATCAAATTACTAAGAGGGGTTAGGATAAACATAATTGCTCAATCAGAAGATTTAGAAAAATCCAATATCTCATGGCTCAACTTTCCTTTCTAGGGAGCTATCCATAACATCACTTTGTTTTTGACTTGAAATTACGTGTTATCTCTTATATGCATTTGTCACTACTCATCAGATTCACAATTGCATTGTGCTATAATTGCTTAGTACATATCATATATATACTGCTTATATGATAAAAATGACTAAAAGATAAAATAAGAACTTGTCGTACCATGGTTCATCATGCATGCATAACTTCCTTTGCAATGGACAACCTTTATAAACCATTAGAAACACATAGGCTCAAAATCGCAAAAATGTTTACCTAGCAATGCATTTTAATTGGTTAGACATATACTTTGTATACTTAGAATCAATAGAACTTGGGTATTTGTACGTATTTTGGTGCTTTTGGATTTTTGACATGATCTCCACCATCTTTCTACATTGCATTGTTTTTTGCTTAAACACTTTCTAGGCCAAGGTATCATAGAGACCACTACATCGCCATGGGCATGTGAGGCATTTTATGAGACAAATGTAGCATCTGTCAGTGTTCCAGCCTCGTTGTGGTTTCTTCTTTAAGAATTTCCATCTCTTATTACGCCCATCATGCAGAATGAACGCCTTCATCTCTCACACGTTTTCAATAGTATGCAGCTTATGCTATCCTATTTAACAATATTTTCTTTTTAGAGGTGTTGAGTTACGCTCGATTGTCAATGATACCTCCTTTTCTCTGTTCATGTTCCCCCCTCCCCAAACTTGAAGACAACAATATCCTCATTGTGAGAGGCGAGGAAAACAAAAGGAAGTGTAGGGGAAAGTAGAAAATGGCTTATATTAGTTTCCAAAATATTTGTGCAAAGTGAGTGTCAAAAATGGCTAGTTCTAGACCCATCAAGTAACCACGAGAAATATGTGATCTTATAGATTATTTGCGCTACCCCCCCCCCCCCCAAAAAAAAAGTTGTAAAAATTAATGGTATCGATAAGTACACAAACAAATGGCAAGAATATGAAGCAACTATTGTAAACGTAAGCTAAGACTTAAGGTTAAATTCGTAACTACGTAACATTATCGTACTAAAACTAAATTTGAATTAAAGGAAAGATATGTAATTGGACACGTCTACTCCCGTGGAGTAGGTGCTGATTTTTCCAATCAACCGCAACTGCTTTTGACCCGCCACAACTAGGCTTTTAGTTTCAAAAAGCTGTTGCATCATCTTGCTATATATGTTGCTCGTGAACAATCGCAACAATTACAACATCCTGCTCAGCTCAGCTACCATATCCTGAATTTTCTCTCTCAAATCACAAACTTCATCTTTCAACCCTTGAATTTCTTTCAGCAAAACATTTGTCATTGGTGAGTGTTGCCATGTGATTGCAAGAATTCAAAACTTGTACTTATGTGAGCTCATTCCTTGGGAGTATTGTAACTTCTAATTTTTGCATCAACCCATGAATCAGAGCAGGAAAATACAGTCTACCTTTAGCTTTTCTTGCACACCCTAAAGTGGCTTACAGACAATGTTGTTACAACGGTCAAAATACAAAATAATGGTAAGGATTGAGATTTGAAATAGCGGTTATCAGGTGGTGTATAGTGTTCCAAAAAATAGCGATTCATATCATAATTATTAGAATTATATATATATATATATATATATATATATATATATATATATATATAAAAGGGGCCATTTAAGGGAGAACTGATTTGTTTGTGATAACTATGAGATCCAATCTCTACCACAAATCAATGGTTAAATTAGAAAACTAATAATTTTGGTATTTTTACTTAAAATTTTAATTAAAGGACATTTTAGGTATTTTAAAAATCTTATATATCCTCTCTCCTCTTCTTTTCGTCGAACTTCATTCCGGCAAACTTTATTCCAGCAAACACATGATGCATACTGTGATACACTTCTTAAAATAACGAAAAAACATAGTGTGATACACTTAGTAAAGCAGCATTACTTGATATATTGTGTTACACTTCATAAAACAACAAAAATATATTGTGATACACTTCGTATAACGATAAAAATACACTGTGATACACACTATGATACCAGATCTGGACAACTATGTTACCACTGTATTACACTCAACGTTACATCTCCAAAGAAATCTAGGTTACATAAAAAAACCTTACATCTTCTGCGTTACATCTCCGATGTATCTGGGTTACGTCTCCGACAAGATCTGGGTTACGTCTCCGATCTGAAATGAGATCTGAAAAAAAACTAGAAACCGAAACTGATCTGGGTTGTTCAACAGGGGGAGTCAGACTGGTGAGGTGAGAGTTAAGGAGATGATGGCCGGTGGTTGGAGATGGATAGAGAATAAGAAGCAGTGGTGGCCGGTGGCCGGAGATAGTCGGAGAAAAAGGCGTAAGATAGTGTCGGGCAAAGGGATCGGTGTATAGTGTTGCATCGGAGAGAAAGCACGTTTTTGGCCGACGATAGGGAAAGAGGGTCACATGTGGTCATCTCGTCCATTCTAATATACATACACACACATCTATTTTAAAATAAAATTATTAAACTAATTAAAGTAAATTGAATACTCAACACAATTTACAATTTACTAATATACATATGTGTATATATATATATATATATATATATATATAG